CAAAAGGTAAATGCTTTGAATCAATTCAGGACACTGAGGTAACCGTGACAGTACAGCTAAGCCACTCACAAAAGACTTCCAGAACGGCTTCAGAAAGTGCTAAGAACATAGCTGAGGGTGGTGGCGCATGCCTGTCATCCGAGTACTCAGGAGGGAGGTGGAGGCAGGAGGATCACTGCGAGGTTCAAAGCCAGCCTGGGCTACACAGTGAGTTCAAGGCCAGCCTGCACTACAACATGAGACATTGTCTCAAAAAAACAAGAAAAAAGAAAGAAAGAGGAAAAAAAGAAAGGAGCATGAACAATGGGATAGTGTGTTTAAAAAAAGGGGGATTAATAGCATGTGTCTTAAAAATGCAAGCTTTCAGCCTGGGGATTTATGGTACCGCCGCCTGCCTCGAAAGTGCAAGGTCCTGACTTTGATCCCTGGTATCAAAAAAAAAGGAAGCATTCACCAGTATGTTTCAATCATATCTCGTATATCTTTTCAGAACATGTAAAAAGTGCACGGATTTTCTTTTTTTCTTTTTTTGGTACTGGGGATCCAACTCGGGTCCTTCTGCTTGCGAGGCAGGTGGCAGAACCACTGAGCTAAATCCCCGGCCCTGGGGTTTTCATACTAAGGTAATTTTAACAGAAAAGAGGCAGGCTGAAAGCACTCTTTCCTCTGAGACACTTTGATTTTTGGTTTGCTGGGACAGGGTCTTGCTATTAGTTCAGATTGGCCTTGCACTCACTGTGTAGCCAGGCTGGCCTCAAGCTCTCGCTGAATCTTCCTGCCTCAGCTTTCCCAGTGCTGGGATTACTGGCATCCATCACCATGCCCAGCTGACACTGGTTTTTCTTAGAAGGTAAGGGAATTTTTTGTTGTTTTTCAGATGCGGTTTCACTATGCTGCCTAGGCCAGTCTTAAACTCCTGGACTCAAATGATCCTTCCGACTCACCCTCCTGAGCAGCTGTGACTACAGGTTTGCAATATATGCACACTTGAATTTAGGGGAATTTTGGAAGCTGCTTTTACAGTGCCAAATTTGACAACCATATCAGAAGGAAGCTGGTTCCAACACTAACAGTAAGGGGGCCAGGTCCCCAGGGGCAATTAGCATCTGTGGGCACCTGTGTGGGACAGAAGGAAAAGGACCTCAGAGGGTCTGGTAGGAAATGTGGGGTGCGAGAGGGATACAGCGGGAACCACGGGGACTGGGGAGGAAGTCCAGAGCCTTGGCATCAATCAATGGCCATGTAAGTTTGAAACCAATGAGCACATTTATGCTGAAGACTGAAATGTTTTGAATCTTTGCATGAAATTCACATAGATTACCTAGAAAAATCCAAGGAACAAGAATTTGAAGAGAACACATTTCATTATGCTCCACTGTGATAAGCACCCCCAAACTGAATCTCTAGGCACTGAATGGTTAAAACTGAAGAGGTAAAGGGGCTGGGGATTTAGCTCAGTGGTTCCAGAGCCTGCCTCACAAGTGCAAGGATCGGAGTTCAATCCCCGGTACCAAAAAAACAAAAAACCACTGAAGAGGTAAAGCAGGGGATGGTGCCACTCAGGACAATGAGGCAGGAGGATTTCGAGTTGTCAGCCTGAGCAACTCAGCAAGACTCTGGCACAAAATAAAAACTGAAAAGGGTAAGGGGGCCGGGGATGTAGCTCAGTGGTTCCGCCGCCTGCCTTGCAAGTGCAAGGACCCGAGTTCGATGCCCAGTACCCGCCCCGCCCCCCCCCAAAATGTGTCACCTCTAGCCCATCAACTAGAATGATTCTTGGGAGCACAAACAGGATTTACAAAAGTGGTATATCAGGCAGTTTGCCCACTGATCTTTTTTCCCTTAACTGCAGTGCTGGGGGTCGGCAGGCACTGCCACTGAGCCCCGCCTACAGTCTGATTGCTGACCTATTAAGTATTAAGCACTGCTTCTGATTTACTTGTGGAAAAATGAGCACTTGTTGGAGACTGAACTTAAACCCTCTGATAAGCTAAAGAGAACAGTTTCACTGTCATATCCATTAGCAGACAAGTTTTTTTTGGACAGGGTTTCACTTGCAGCAATCCTCCTGCCTGTAATCGCAGTAGTACTATGCCTTTTTAAAAAATATATTTATAATACTATGATGCTTTGGGATCCTACAAAGTGCAATAAGATAACAGTATGGAAAAAGGTGAAAAGGCCAACATTTCGACCAAATGAATACCACTCCACCAAAAGCAAAACAAACAAATTATGCTCTATATTTTTTCTGGTCCCTGCTCCCCAGATTGAACCCACAGCCTCACACGGAGCTACATCGCTCGCTCTTTTCACTTTTTATTTCGAGACAAGGTCTTACCAAGGTGCCCAGGCTGGCTTTGAACTTGCACTCTGTCCACCTCAGCCTCCCTAACACCTAGATTAAGGCCGGTCCCACCATGTCCAGCCATCTGTTCTTTTTGTTTTTAACAGCTAGGATTTGCTTTTGATTAGGTGAAGAAACAAATGCACCTGTGTTCATTAGTTACATAAACTAGAGGTTTTTTCCCAGACCAGGGATAACACCCACGTATTTTGTGGCAGAGCTCAGGAGCTGTCTCAGCGAAATCCCAATTTTCTATGTTTGTGGTGATGCTAATCTAAGGAGGAGGAGTGACATCTGGTTGATCCAGGTGAGCGCTTTCCAGTCTTTCCCACACAGCCCAGGTGTCTGCACCTCCTGAAGGCCAGGCTGAGCCAGCTGCCTGTCCACTGAGGGGTCCGCGTGTCCCCATAGGACGGCCGCACCCGGGCTGTAACTCCTGTGAGGGCTTTCCCGGTGTGGCATGTGTGGCACACCCTCTAGCTGTGACCCCAGAGCGTCTCCCGGCTTGGGCACCACAGTCACAGGGGCCAGCGCAGCGGCTGAGGCCGCAGCAGATTGCGCAGCCGCCTGGCTGCCCACAGGCTGAGGATGCGGCTGGGCGGTTCTGGACAACAGCATCATCAGTGCAGTCACAGCAACGGGGTTTTATCAGCCCTGTACGTCTGCTAGGGTTTCAACTGTAAACCTGTGCTGCCCTGACAGAATTTCCCCCCTTAGAAAGTATTTGTTTTTCTACACATTATTCAAGTCTGAGTTATACTTTATCTTATTTCTTTTTTGGGGGGTAGTGGGAATTGAACTCAGCACTTTTCGCTTGCCAGGCAGCTGTGGCACCAACTGAGCTGAATCTCCAGCCCCTCTAATTTATGTTTTTTAGCTGAAACTTTATTGAAGAAATGCTCAAGAGCTCAAAAATGTGGGCAAGCCGGGGTTTAGCTCAGTGGTTCTGCTGCCTGCCTTGCAAGTGCAAGGACCCGAGTTTGATCCCCAGTACCAAACAACAAAACAAAACACGTGGGCAAGTATAGTACTTAGATGCTGTCTTTGTTGTTAATTCCTTTAAAAAAAAAAAAAAAAAGAATTAACTTGCAAGCTGAAAAATAAGCAGTATTTACTATCACATTTTTGTTTCCAGAAGAGGATTCTTTGAAGGTACTGCTCATATATATGCTCTCTAAATTTCTCTTCTTTGAATCCAGAAGAACTGACAACACCATTAATACAATGTCTAAGGCAGGTAAGCTGGAAAGCTGTCTTGAACATGACCGAATCAGAGACCTCCTCCCCATACTGGGGACGGGACTGAGTGCTCTGCACTGGGTAACATTCCCAGTCCTCAAAAATTTTGAGACAGGCCCTCGCTATGAAGCTCAGGTGGGCTTGAACCTGCAAAGACCTTCCTGCCTCTGCCTCCTGTTGCACCCAGCCAGGAGAATCTACGCAGTCAGGTGGTTAATGGGAAGGGTTGATTCAAGAAGGTGTCTACGCTGCCAGTCTTCAGAGCTCACCTTTCACCCATGCACTGAACCCTGGGGTTGGCTGGAAGATGAGGAAAAAGTAACAAAACGAAAAAAAATCCCATGAAAAACAACAAAAAACCTGATTCAACAGCTCCAGCTTTAGACATGTTATTCCAGCAATAATCATAAATTTTGCAAGTCTAACAAAAATAACTACTGTACTCCACACAACCTAGCAAGGCTTGCTAACAAGATCAAGCGGCTCAAAAGAAAAAAAAAATGTTTTTGGTGGTACTGGGGATTGAACCCGGGGAATTCTACCACAGTCCTTTTTGAGACAAGGTCTTGCTAAGTTGCCCAGGCTGGTCTCAAACACAAGACCCTCATGGCTCAGCCTCCCAAGCAGGTGGGACTCCGGGTGTGCACCACTGTGCCTGGCTCCAAACTGTTCAATGAGGCAGAACTGTCCCAGGGACTCTGAAGATTCCCTTCCCCTTCTAAAGCCCTTTGGCAAAAACTGCCAGTAACAAAAAGACTATGCAGAAAGAGTAATTCATTTTATAGCTCTCCAACACAAAACATTAGTGATTTCTGTTAAATACTAATGTTAAAAGATGACATCTAGTTCTGTTTTCCTTCTCAAGATTTATCTGCTGTCTGGGCTGGGGATGTAGCTCAGCAGCACCTTGCCTGCCTCACAAGCACAAGGTCCTGAGTTCGATCTCCAGTACCAAAAGGAAAAAAAAGATTTATCTGCCTTCTGAGGTAGGCTGAGCAGCAAAATGCCTTGCTGACAGGAAGAGCAGCCCAGAAAAGATGATCTCTCGTACTCGCCCCATCTAGGGCCATGCCTGGAGTCTAACATGCTCAGGTAGGGGAAGTGGAAACAAAGCTCCAGCAAGCGGCAGCTGAACCGCTAAAGGTAATAAAGATTTAGAAATTGCTCAAAGCCACACACATTATCTAAGAGTCACAAAACGCACAATTCTTCATTTTGCTTAAAATAGCAAGAAAGCATGGTATGATTGGGAGAGGAAGGGGGTGTCTAACCAGGAACTCTGCCATAAGAAAGTCACATAAAGCTTGGCAGAAACAAGAAGCCACAGTCCCCAAGCTCTCCGGGCCCACTCACAAACCAACTGTGGCAACAGGAGACAAGGTGTTGTCCACCACCAGCAAGCAACGCTGCTCACCTGCTTGTGTGCGTGGTCATAGGAGTTGATGTGGTTGTCGAACTCCTGGTGCTTCTGGTACTGCTTGTCACAGAGCTCACAGTAGAAGTTGGCGCGGAGGTCTTCCAAGGCCTTGGCAATCGCCTTCTCTTTGTCAACGTAATCCTGCAAGAACCATAAGAAACCCAAACAATAAAGGTAAATGGTAAGCTTCGGTGAATGCTATGACTAAAACAACAAACTGTGGCTCCTAAGATCTCAGACATTGGAACAATCTGTTACAGAACATAAAGTGACTGTAAATTATTTAAATACAAAATACAATTCCAAAAATGACCAAGCATGAAGCACCATAAAAGTAAGTAGGCAGAGTGCAGAAAGAAAGAGAAGATGCTAACAACTGCAGAATATAATTATAAAACAAGCAGATGAACAAACGAGAACCGTGAACCACATTAGATGGGGCTCACGAGTATTCACGGCGACGCTGCCATCAGAACACAGAGCTGGCTGCACAGCACTGGGGACTCTGTTCCAAAGTACTGAAGCGGAGGCCTGCAATGGGTGTGTTTCATGATACATGCAGTGAGATCCCTTTTAAAAACACATGGACAAAACAAAACAAAAAAAAAGCAACCCACAGTGCAAGCACAGGTGAGAGATAGATGCTTAGGTGGTAACAGCTGCAATTTCTCTGAAGCACAGACAGGCGCAGCTCCACAGAGGTGAGCGCTGCGAAGCTCCACACTCAGGCTCCAGAACCAGTGTGTGTCCGAAGGTAGCCACCTGTGCTCCTGCTGGCACCACAGAAGCCCAGTCATGAGGGCACAGGCCACACGCAGCCCAGCAGCGGGCGTGGTAATCACAGGAGATTCTTTACCTGCACCTCAGGGCTTTCACCAGAAAACCACTCCTTCTCCCTACGGCACCTTCTTTAGGGTTTCTCTGAGAATCTTCTTGTAGCAAACTAAAATTACTTTTATCTTTGTTCCCAATGATACTTTTGCTGGGTGTACACCTCTGGGATGATGGTTATTTGCACAAGCACATTTGTATCTAACTTCCTTGTTACTCCAACAGTAATCTGAAGATTATGTCCTGTCTTTTTTGCAGTGTTGCGAATCAAATTCAGGGTGTCAGACATGGGAGGCAAGTGCTCTACCCTGAGCGACACACCCAGCTCAAGATGATGCTTTTACTTTGGTTTGGTGCTGTTTTTACTCTGTGGTGTGTCAATGTGCAGATTTCCAGTCATGTCCGAGATTCCGTAGGCCTCCTCAGCCTGTGAGCTGGTGTGTTTCAGCGATTTGGGGATCTTTTCTTCCAACATCACCTCTGCTTCACTCTTGCTTTTTTCAGCTGTCTCCCCATGCATCAGAGCAGCGCTATCATCTAACACAACCCCTTTAAGTATCATGCTGCTTTTCTCTCTCTTGGCCTCCCTGCTCTGCACTCCGAATATTTCCTTAGAGGAGCTGTGACGCCTGGATTTATACAATCTCTACGAATCATCTCGATGACTTTTATTTTTTGAGACAAGGTCTCCCGGGCTGGCCTTGGGCTCAGAATCTCCTGCCTCGGCCTTCCTGGTGCTGGGGTCCCAGTGTGTCACCTCGCCCATCCACAGTGGGATTTTCTAGTCTTCCTGTTCTTTGCTCACCATTTAAGTCCCTTTCGTTTCTAAGTGTCTCACAGCTGAAACTCCTGCGCGCTCAGCTAACACTGAGGCCTACAGGAGCGACTGACCCTTCTTTCCCCTTGCTCACTGCAGTCTCACTTCCTGGCTAAGCTTGTGACTCTTCTGCCCGCAATGCCCTTTGTGAGAGTGTTGACCCAGGAGTCCCGGGAAGCCTGTGTGGATCTACAGGCAGCTGAATGCTTCTTCAGGAGGGTCCTAACTGCCCGAGATGACCTTGACCGTACACCACCCTATTTCATTTACTTTTAAAATGCCATTCAGCTGGGTGTGGTGGTGTACACCTGTAATCCCAGCACTCGAGAGGCTGAGGCAGGAGAGTTGCCTAGAGTTCCCAGCCAGCCTGGGCTACATAGTGAGACCCTGTTTCAAAAGAAAAAAAAAAAGCCTGACAGTCTAATTAACTGGAAAATCCTCAGCATGATTTCTAAACATTTCTTCTGTTCCACTTCTGTGCACATGGGGGTTTCCATGACAAGTACATGGGACTGCCTGATGTCCCACGGGACAGCATCTCTGATGCTCTCATTTCCCCCCACCTTTTGTTTCAATTTCAGCTTGAATAATTTCTACTAACTTCTCTTCAAATTCAGATTCTAATTCTATCTTCTGTGTCTCAGCTACTCATCAGCTCACAGAAAGAATTCTTCATCTCTGATACTGTATTTTTATTCTCTTGCTGGTAATTTTAATCCATACAACTGGCAACTGGATTTTGATAGGTTCAAAATTACACATAAATGAAATTAAGCTGGGCACAGTGGTGCACACCTGTAACAACAGCACTCTAGGAGGCTGAGGCAGGAGGATCCAAAGTTTAAACCTGGCTGTGGCAACTTAGGCCCTGTCTCAAAATAAAAAATAAAAAAGGGGATTTAGCTCAGTACAAAGGCCCTGCATTAGACCTCCAGTACAGCAAAAGAGAGTGAGAGATTGTACATTTTTCAACTTATGAAAATAATGAATGAGGGGGTCGGGGATGTAGCTCAGTAGTTTCGCCACCTGCCTTGCAAGTGCAAGGTCTTGAGTTCGATGCCCGGTACCCCCCCCCCCAAAAGAATGTGGCCCAGGGATGTAGCTCAGCAGCACAGTGGATGTCTGGCAAGTGTGAGGCCCGGCATTCCATTCCCAGTACCAAAAAGAAAAAAAAAAGAAATACTGACTGCAATCCTTTCAAAGAAGTTACTAGCATACAAACTGAGAAAATGATAGGGAAAAACTCAGCAGAGGGGCTGGCAGAGTCGGGTGTGGTGGCGCAAGCCTGTAATCCCAGCTACCGTCCTGGGAGGACCACAAGTTCGAGGCCTGCCAGGGCAACTGGGAGAGGCTTGGTCTCAAATTAAGAAGCCAAAAGCTTGGGGATATAGCTCAGTGGTACAGTGGCCCTGGGTTTAGTACTCAGCACTACAAAAGATGCATCATAACACACAGGTAGTGATACAAACACATATTTTTTAAAGCATGAGAAAAAAGAAAAAAGAGCTACCAAGAAACACAACATGGGATGCAGTAAGGATTTAAAGAGGTCTACCAAGTTTATCCCACAGAGTTGTCTGGTGGCCTTGAATACAGCAGCTAAGTGAAGTGTGAACGCAGCAGCAGCATGATGGGTACGAAGGGAGGGAAGGAGGGAGGGAGGTTTGGCCACATTACGAGGGGTCCGGGTGCAGAGTCTCACACAACCCTTCGGGGAGGTCTGTTGAGTTCTGAGGCTCTGCTGTCTCGCCGCTGTGAGCCCAGTGTGGCTGCACACCTTGAGGCAGCTCTGTGTGACAACAGCCACAGCCAGGTCTGCTGACACTGCGGGGCCCGGGCTCTTCCATCTTTTCCTAAAAGCAGTGCAGCTAGGTACTTTAGGGACACTACTGGTAAACAGCACAGAGTTGGATTTTACTTTACTTTATTTTATTTTATTTTATTGGTACCGGGGATCAAATTCGGGACCTTGCGCTTGTGAGGCAGGTGGTGGCACCACTGAGCTAAATCCCCGGCCTAGTTGGATTTTAGTTTTAAATTCAGTTTGATAGTCTTTGTCTTTTTACTGGAGTAAAGTTTTCCAAATCTGTCTGTACACAGGAAACACCTTGGAAATGTCAGAATACAGCAATGTCAATAGATTTTAATTGTCAGATGTTAATTGGTCAAAGATACAGTCTTGGCTTTGAAACTTTTTTTAAAAAGGAGACTAATGTGCATTTAAGTTTGGGAACCCCTTAGTTAAAATTTATATTGAATTTGTAATTAACAATATACTCGGGTTAATAGTTAAAAAACTATTCTATGCTATAAATTAGCCCAGGTATAGTACATTTCCTTTTCTCTCATTCCTTCTTTCAGAAAATCATTTTCTCATTTCACAATTTTCCTCTATCCATTTGAAATTTGTACAATGGGGCCAGGGATTTGGCTCAGTGGTTCCAAAGCCTGCCTCACAAGTGCAAGGTCCTGAGTTCAATCCCCGGCAACAACAACAACAACAAAAAATTTGTACAATGTCTATTCCTTTAGTAGTGACTAGATGCTTACATGTATTCTTTTTGTTTGTTTTTTGAGACAGTCTCACTATGCAGGTCAGGGTGGCCTTGATCTCACTATGTAGTCCAGGCTAGTCTCAACTCACACCAGGCCTCCTGCCTCAGCCTCCTGAGTGCTGAGATTACAGGTGTGTGCCACCACGCCCAGCTTTGCATATATTCTTGAAGTTCTAATTTTATACCTTACTCTCTTTCTGGAGATAATGAGGCCCTTAGAATATAAGAACTTAAACCAGGGGTAGCAGTGTGTACCTTAGATCTCAGTACTCTTGAGACCCAGGCAGGAAGATTTCCAAGTTCAAGCCTGGCCCCAGCAACTTAGTGAGACTCTGTTCCAAGATAAAAAACTAAACTTTAAAAAGGGGGAAGGGCAGGCTGGGGACTTAGCTCAGTGGTTCTGCCGCCTGCCTCACAAACGCAAGGACCTGAGTTCGATCCCTGGTACCAAAGGGGGGGCGGGGGCGGCTGGGGGATATAGCTCAGTGTGAGTGCCCTGGGTTCAATCCCTAGTGCTACAAAAACAAAAATCAAAACAAAACAAAAACCCCACTAAACACCATTTATTCACTTCCAACCTCAAGTTACTGCTTTGGTGAATTTTTATTTTTATATCCCATGAAAAATTCTTAAATTTACCTATTACCACTTTCTGTATTCATCTTTATTTTGTGTCTAAAACCTTTTTCCTGAAGTCATTTTCTTTCTGAAGAACATCCTTTACTGTATTTGTTTAATAAGTGTTTCCCAAATTCAATTACTTCTCCTAGCATTTGTTTGTCTGAAAATGCTTTTACCCACTGTGTGTTTGAAAGACACTTTAGCTGGTGAGTGACTAGGCTGCAGGTACTTTTCTGCACCTGCAATCCCATGATACTCTATTTCCAAATGCAGCTTTTCAGAAGCCCTCAGCCTGCAGGTCTTAGGGAGCAAACTGTGTTTAGGGGACTCTTGGGTCTCTGGGACGTGAGCATGCTACAGTCCAAAAAGGATGTGTTTACACATGGATTTCTTTTTATTTACTCAACTTAGATTCTTCAGGCTTCTCACATTTGTATTTTGGTATTTTTCTTTTCTCCTTTTTTTTTTTTTTTTTTTTGTACTGGGGGTTAAACCTAGGCCCTCAGGCAGGATAGGCAAGCACTCTACCATTAAACTGTTTTAGAAAAGAGTTTATTTTTATGCCAGGTGTGGTGGTGCACACCTGTAATCCTAGCCCTTGGCAGGCTGAGGCAGGAGGACTGCCATGAGTTTGAGGACAGCCTGGGCAACATAGTGAGTTCAAGGCTAGTCTGAAATACATAGCCAGACCCTGTTTCAAAAAACCAAAACCAAAAAGAGTATTTTGAATGAGAGCCTTGCTAAGTTTATTTTCTTTATTTTTTGCTGTACTGGGGATTGAACTCAGGACCCTGTGCTTGCAAAGCAAGCCCGGTGCCACTGAGCTAAATCCCCAGCCCCCTTGCTAAGTTTAAATTCTAGAATTCCTGTCTTTTTTTTTTTGAGATAGGGTCTTGCTGTGTAGTTAAGGCTGGCCTCGAAATCACGGTTACCCTCCTGCCTCAGCCTCCCAAGTGCCGGGATTACAGGTGTGCACCATCATGCCCACCTTACTCCATTTTTAAAATGGCACACTGAAAGAAAATATTCAACTCAATACTTCCATATAACAAATTTCTACTTTAGAATTGAGTTTAACTAGCAATGAACAAAACAATACTCAAATCTTATTCTTGAAACACCCTGCACATTTTAAAAGCACACCCAAACTGCGTTAACTCCTCAAGCTCTCATCGGATGGACTTGCAGCTTTTTTGGGCCCTGTGTGCACGCTCGACAAGTGCTGCACCGATGGGCTCCACCCGAGCCCCTTAGTAACAACTGCAACTGCAGCTACACTTGGCCGCCTGTGTACCAGGCAGGGCAGCTTCAGATGTTACTGATGAAGTCTTCCCAGCCAACCACGAAGGAGGCGCGAGACCTCTAAGCCAGACTGCAGCGGTAAGCAGGGAAGCAGCAGAAAGGCGACCTCTGCTGCACCTGACTCCACACCCCACGGAAAGGGACGGTGTGCAAGGAGTGAGCCCTTGCAGAAAGGGTACTTTACGAACCTTGTACTTCTGCCTCAGCTCCTCTGTGTCTTCTTTTTCCACTTCTAGGACACGGCGCCGTTCGGTTGCATCTTCGGCATAATCGAGCTTAACAAAAATAGACAGTTATTTTTACTTCCTACGGAACTCCAAGAGTAGCTATGAAAAAGGGACTGACACAACTGCAGTGCTGCCTGGCGATGGAGACCTTCAGTACCTCAAGACTTCCTCGATGCTGTGCTGTCCCCCGAGAAAAGAGCACACAGAACAGCTTATTAGCCCTTTTCTGCTGGTGGCTTCCTTCCAAAAAGCATGTTTTTTTGTTTGTCTTTTTTGGTACCGGGGATCGAAATCGGGACCTTGCGCTTTTGAGGCAGGCGCCGGAACCACTGAGCTAAATCCCCGGCCCTAAGAAGCATGTTTTTTGAAAATAGACTTCAGTTCTATGTTCATCACCAAGTGAGTGATGGGAAATGGAGAAAATATGAGACAACTGAAAGCAGGCAACAGAGATGACAGCCATACACAACTCTCTGAGCAGAGCTTCCAGCACCACGCCTGTCCTGGGAGTGAAGTGGCACCACTGCTGATACCAGCACCAGGCCGTCAGGCTCACCCAGATCTGGCTTCTTGGTGTCACTCGGAAAAGCCACTCAACTTCATGCCCCAGTGCCAACAGGAGTGTTTCGAGCACCCTATGGGCCTCTAAGGCAGCACTAACTGAGAATGCAAAGTGCATGTTTTAACTGTGCAAAGTAAAGTATCAAAGCTATACTCCACCTGGTCAGTGTTTTCTTGCACCAGCACCTGAAGCTGGAGCTAATATCAATCTCAGCCCACAGCCTGAGGAGCCCGCTCACCTCCATCTCCATGCGGCCCATGCCCATGACGTCATACTTGACAACGATGGGGATTGGGTCGGTTCTCCCTGTAACAGGAACACATGATAAGGGTCAGACCCGGCCGAGCCAACACTCAGGTGCACATTAGGCTGGGCAGTTAGAGGTCTTGCCTTGGAGCGCAGAGACCAGAAAGCTACAGTGACCAAACACAGCCATTCTCACAGCTTACGCACAGCCCCTCCTGTCCTGGCTTGAGCCAGTGACACTGTGTGGACCTTCCACTCGGGACGGACCAGACCACAACACAAATTCAGTCGCTGAGTGATGCACAGCGGGGCTGAGAAGCGGCACAGTAGACTTACGCTGAAAACTTCAGCATCCCTTTTTAAAGGGTTCCCAAGTACTTCCCAGATCACCCCACTCCACTCAGCGACACCCTCCCTGCACACGGAGACCCTCCACTGACAGGCATAAATTGAAAAGCTCACTGTCAAACACGATGCAGTGAAACACTAAGGTACACACCAGCAGGTGTGGCTTTTTAATGTCTTCTGAAGATGAGTGAAAAGCAACAGGTGTCCTTGGGGACAAAGCAGTGTCACTGTTATCTGGTGCTCCAGGTCCCATTTACCAGAGTGAATTTAACACTGGCTGTGCTGATCGGTAAGCTGTGAAAAGGACTAGTTGCGAAGAAAATTGACTTTAAACTAATTGATCTATGCTGGAAAAATTTTAAATAAATATATATTTAATCCACTCATAACCAGCCAAACAAAGCAAAATGGGGCAGACAAGCACTTTACTACCACAGCTGTTTCACATCACAACTTGTGAGGGGCATTGTGATGTGAGCCCACTGAGAAGGGACTTACCTTACCCGCGTGCACCTTAGTGAGAAAACACAGGGTTTACTTCCCTCATTATTCAGCTCAGGCTGGTGTGAACAATCAGTTTTTGTTGTTATACACACATAAATATTATACCTTTGGGCTAAAACTGAGTTTCATCAGGCTAAATCTCAGGGAACCCCCCCCGCCATGATTGTGACTGGCTTGTGTCATGCAGGACAAAGAAGAAACTGCTTTGCAAAATGACCAGCAACTATTTATATCCAGTTGCTCTACATTTGCAGGATTCATTTTCTGTCTTTAAAACACAATGAAGGCCGGGGATTTAGCTCAGTGGTTCCGCCGCCTGCCTCGCAAGCAGAAGGTCCCGAGTTCGATCCCTGGTACCAAAAAAACAACAAAAAAACCCACAATGAAAAATAAATTCAGAAATTTATCTACTTATCATTAATATCACACTGCTTTTAAACAGATAATTAGGAATGATTAGCATAATTTAAAAATCTGTTTAAAGAAAATCTTATGCATGGGGGGGGGTGTGCTTCTAGCGCACAGCCCATTTGTGGATGCTACTAAAGGCTGCCAGCAAACAGTAAGGTGGGCCGGAGATGTCGCTCAGCGGCACTGCAGCTGCCCGGCAAGCGGGAGGTCCTGAGTTTGATCCCCGGTATCAAAAAAAGAAAAAACAAAAACAAAAAAACAAACAGTAAGGCTGAGTGGCTACCTTATGCCCAATGGTATAATAAATCCGCAGTGACTGCAATCTTTAGCAAAAGGACCAAATTAAAGACAGGTTATAAAAATGACTTCCTAAGTGCAGTATCACTTTCATAACGTCTCAGGGATTTACTGGTAAAAACAAATGGTCCAATGAAGGAATTGAAAAGAAATGTCCAATTTACTTTCTTTTTGGTATCATTTTTGTTCTGTGAGAATTTGTTCTGTAAGAAGAAAGTTTTGGTACAAATTCTTTACCTTTGTAAACCCCTGTTATAAACTGCATTAGTACTTTTGCCTTCTAAGGCAGTCAAAGTTTTTAAAATTTACTTGTAAATTGCAGTAGCAAGTGCTAGTGCCCATTACATTGGGAAATCAAGTTTTTGACAGTATTAGAATTTAATGTTTTCACTGATTTCTTTGGCAGTTCTAACACAAACAGATACATCCCTTCTTAACAGTACCCTTTCCATGAACAAGGGTCAGACAAGTTGCAGAAGGAAAGGAAAGGAAAATGAAATAGACCAAGCAGAAGGATGAAGGCTACAACAGAGAAAGGAAGCCTAACATATTGGTGCACTGATGACAAAGGAGGAATTCAGTCTGAAAATAAAAAATTACCACTAAGTTTACCATCACCACAACAAGTCCAGGGTCATAACGCTGTAAAAAAGAAACACCATCTGTTAGGCAGCAACCATGAGGGCGGGAAGCAGGCCTTCTAGCAGGCCAGGGCGGTGGTGGGGCCTGTCCCTCCCCCAGGTTCCTGAGCTGCAGCTGCTTCCCGGCCGGGGCGCACTGGCTGCTCGGGCTGCTGGCTGCGGGGCTAGGAGCCTCCTCTTCAGCAACTCGGGCGGGGCCGTGGGTTTACCGCACAACTAGCTCTAGCTTCCAACCTCTCACTCAACGTTTCCTTCACCTGGGAAATCAGGGTTCAGGGCCCAAGATGGAGCTTTCCTTAAGTCACAGCATGATGGGATCAGATCCAGTGGAAAGTGATCCGAGGAGGCAGGGGTGGGGGTGCTGTCTGTAACAGGGAGCGGTCTGAAAGGCCTGCAGGGACGCGAATGTGACCCTCTCCGTGATAGGAACAGCTCCAGGTTCGCTGCTCCTGGCCCAGGACCCTCGAGCGTGAGCCCAATCGGGAGTGAACGGGCTCTGTAAGCGGCTCTCCCCAAACTCTGCTTCCTCTTCACGCCGACTTTCCAGGCCTGCTAATGTCCTTCTGCGTCTTCCATTCGCAACCAAGCCAGGTGGGAAGGGCCCTCCGGAGAAACTCCGGAGAATGCGGCGCTCACGGTGGCGCTGACCACCACCGAGCTCTGTGCTCGCTGAGGCGCAGCAGCGCGGCTTCCTCCGCGCGCGGGAGGCGACCTTCGCCCTCCGCAGACCAAGGAGAGCACGGTGGGCAACCCCAAACGCACACATCACGCTACCCCCTACACCAAGCGCACACACCCTCTGCGCAGCTCTCAGCCTCCTACCTATGGGCGCTAAGTCCTGAGTGAAGAACAGCACTCGAGGGCAGACTAACAATCTGTGGTGACAACTTCTGAAAACGCAGGTGGCAACAGAAAGGCCGGTAATACCTGTCCTCTACAAAACTCAGCTTTTTTTTGGTATCGAGGATCGAACTTGGGTCCTTGCGCTTGCACAGCAGGCAGCAAAACCACTGAGCTAAATCCCCGGCCCCTACAAAACTCAGCTTTAAAAAAATACTAATAGGGCCGCGGATTTAGCTCAGTGGTGCCGCCGCCTGACTCGCAAGTGGAAGGACCCGAGTTCCATGCCTGGTACCAAAAAACAAAACAAAACAAAAAAGACTAATGAACCAAGTCCAGGTTCCCTATCTTTTTTTTTTTTTTTTTTTTAAGCATGGCAATTATTAAGTAAATTAAATTATTAAAAATTTTTGTTGTTCATTTCACTATAAAGGAGGCAACTTGGACCACAACACTAAATTCTCTCCTTCAAAGAAACTGGCCTTTAGAAATTGATCTTCACATGCTATGACCACTGGCCAACTGGAGAGGGGGATTTGGTTCAGTGGTGCCATGCCTGCCTCCCAATTACAAGGTCCTGAGTTCCACCCCTGGTACCAAAAAAACCCCGAAACAAAACAAAAAACCAGAACACATGCCAAATCAAGAGCACACCAATATATTTTTGAAAAATAATAAAAGTAAATGAATGTGCCAATATTGATACAGTCACCTGACAGAAAAAAACATGTTCATGCTTTTTTTGGGTATCAGCAGGAATCGAACTCAAGACCTGGCGCTTGCCAGGCAGGTGAGGCACCACTGAGCTACATCCCTGGCCCTTTGATATTCATACTTTTTTTTTTTTGGTACCGGGGATCAAACTTGGGACACTGTGCTTCAGAGGCAGGCAGGGAACCACTGAGATAAATCCCTGGCCTGATATTCATACTTTTTAAATAAAAATTTTATGATGTTTTACTACTCAATGAGAATTTAACAGTCTGTAGTTCTAAATTTATTTGTTTTGTGGTGCTTGCAAGCACTCTACCACCGAGCCACACCCTCAGCCCTCGCTATCTACATTCAAGATGCGGTCTCACTTCTACCATGATAAGTCCCTAAATGCTGCTCTAGCAGGCCCTGTTAAAATGCAAGCGCATTATGATTCATAAGGAGTGAACAAGATCCAACAAAACAGGGCATGGTACACTGAGGAGGCTGGGTGGGGGGATCACTGTTAAAAGCAGAACACAAAACAATCACAACGAAAAACCGAGAACCTGATTTGGCACAGCCAGTCTGACTCTGAACCGTCTCTCAATAATTCTGATTTTAAAAGTTATGGAAATACCAATCTGCAGAACTGGCCCAAGAACCCAACTTAGAGAAATACTTGGAACAAGCAGGAAGGAACTGTAAAGAGACAACCCTAACCCGGGAGGGTAGCCAGCCACACTGAAGACAGAGACACACGACTTCCCGGGAAGGACCAGAGTCTGAGAAGGTTGGGACCAGGCACGGTCCAGCTGGGGCTACACCTGGGCCGCCATTCCGCAGCCATGTTCTGGCCCGCACGCAGCGCGGCAGCCCTGCCCAGGCTGCAAGGACAAACAGACCAACCTTAGCCCTACCATCCACGGGGCACTGTCCTAGGCACATGCAGTGATCACAGAATGATCCTAAAGCAAAAGTAAAACAAAGCCATCCAAAGGTGACAAAATCCACTTCCAAAAGACAGAGACTATCAACCTACCCTGACATATTTTTTATTTCAAGCAACCCAAAAACGTGAAAATCCAGAGCTTGGAATGGGAAAGTGAGCGCTCCCCACAGCGCAAGTTCTGGGCTGCAGCTGCGAGTCAGGGCAGCCATCAAAGGGACTGCGCAGCTGCCGAGGCTGAGGAGGGAGCAGTCTGCTCACCAACCCAAGCTCCACTTCCACACTTCCTCCTGAAACACAGCTCACAGGGGCTTGTTAACAACGGTTAATTTCAAATCATTCAGGTATTTTTCTCAGTAACTATAACATGTAATACT